ATTCCAGAGGCAGAAATCCATGTGACATGTAGGACCCATAGGAAGGTGACCACTGAGCTTTGCAATTTGAGAGAGTTACTCAGCTTTACAAAAAAACATGCCAGAAATTCTATAGGACACAGAGAGAAGTGACTGAGAGACTCTAGGCTCATAGGCTGAAGAAGATTGCCCCAACTTTGCAAATGAACTTTGGGTGACTGTCCAGGCACCCAGCTGTCTCTGTCATTGTACATTTTTGGAAATTGCTTACAATGTTCTTCCTGCTTACTTAGGTAATATTGTATCCTTCTGAGGTCTTTGATATAACTTAAGATTAGATAGTTGTAATTATTGTTTTCCTCGGTTATGATAAGAGATAAGTTAGATATGAAACCTTGCACTCAGAAATATATGATAAATAGAATATTTTCTTTCAATTGGCCAAATATAAATGGACTGGATATTGTAACTGTGATTCTTGCTTGATAACTGTTCTATAATATGTAATTTTACTGTGTTAAAGTTAAAATCTTCCTTTTTGATTGTACAGAAAAAGGTAAGTGCTGTGGGGTATCTTTCTGTATGCTGTGAATATGTGTTACTCTGATTGGTTGATAAATAAAGTCATTTGGGCTTGGCAAGGCAGCTTAGAGGAAAGCAAGAAATCCAAAAAGATAGACAAGAAGAGAAAGGAGAAGCAAGGCAGACTCTGCTAGTCACCACCAGGAGAAGCAAGATGTAAGCCACAAGCCATGTTTGTAGAAATGGGTTGATTTAAGATAAGAGAGATAGCTAGCAAGAAGCCTGTCATAGCCATAATTTGAAAATAATATTAGTCTCCATGTGTTTACTTAGGTCTGAGTGGCTGCAGGACTGGGTAGGTTATAGAAAAACTTTCAACTACAAATGCTATTATTACATGTACTTTTTCTTAAAATTACTTTATCAACATCATTAAAGACATTGTAAAATACCTAGATTTCTTTCTCCCTTACTTCATTCTTTATTATTAATCTTCATCTGATAGCCAGCTATTATGATTTGCAGATGCAATTATGATGACATTGACTTCCTGTTCATATACATTTTTAGAATTATTAGCTTTTGTTATTAATGTCATTAGTTTTGTAATTGATTTTCAGAAACAGTACATTTAAAGGTTACAGGAAATATATGATTCCCTTTGACCCACAAAGATGATATACAAACATGCAGAATCAAATAAATGTCACTCTGTATCTCAAATCATAAAACTGTAAAGAAATGCAGATACAATCAAGTCAGTTCTCAATTATTTTATGGCACGACATAAATATGTTCATTATATTCTGAAAAAAAAGATAAACTAGTCATGATCACAGTGAGATTGTGATTAATTATGAAAATTAAAGTACATTGATTATGATATTATTGTTTTCTATAAACAAAATTCTTTTTAAAAGTGTTTCAAACAAAACTTTACTTGAGTGTAAGATGAAAGATCCAAATTGGCAAGTTATACTTCTAAGAACAATTACTTTTCCACATGAGTACAGAACAAAGGGTTATGAATCGGTAGCAATCTGTCGATTATATGCCCATATTGATTTTTACTTTCCTAATAATTTGCTTTTAGTTAAATTATAATTATTTAAATATATGATAGAAAGAAAAGTTTTATTCAATCTATGCTTATGGTAATAAAGTGGATATCACATGATAGCAAGGTAGTATTTTTATTTTATTATAGTTTATGATTTTGTTTAGGTTAATGAGGACAGGAGTTTAAGATTGTATTATTGTTAGTCCATATTGTGCTACTTGCAAGTTCTCTAAACTCAAACACTTGGCTATGTTTGAACATAAAACATTTCTTTGTAGGCTTACCTGGACTAGCTTTCTAGAGAGCTTTTGTACATCTCTACAATTCTATTATATCCTCATGAAGAAAACTTTCTCTGGTGAGATAAGCATGAGATGGTTTTGCAGATCATTACTGATCACACCGATTGTCTGTATTTGTTGAAGTAAAGCAAGATAAATAGAAAATCATAAAAGTCACATTTACCTTGATGGCTTGCATATTGTCAATCATTCAATGTGAAGTTGTTTGGTAAACAAAAACTTTTTGAAAAATGTTTCCCTTTTGTAATGGAATGCTTCAGAAGATGAAAGCCTTTGATTTTATATGTATTTTCTAATATGTTTAATTAAAATTAACAAAATGCACTGTAGCAGGAATCTTAGAGAATAAAATCAAACCCAGGGCCAGTTATTGGGGTGAAATGCTGGATGGTCAGAGAGACAGAACGAACCACAGCCCACCTCTCCTGGCCAACTTCTCAGCTGGTCTTGTTTCCTCAGACTGGAGGCTTCTGAGTCCTCATCCAGAATGGGTCTCAGCTGAATTGCTGCTCAAAAGTCTGAATGCTTAACCAGGCCAAATGCTTAACCAGCCAAAATGCTTCTAGTTTCTGGTCCTCACGCCTTATATACCTTTCTGCTTTCAACTCTACTTGCTGGGATTAAAGGCTTGCTTTCTGTGACTAAAGGCGTGATGAGTCACTGCTGTGTGAAAGGATAGGCCCACTGTTTCACAGTCAGCGATGAGCATGGTTCCCCCAGAGCTTAGGGTAAACGTACTTCTGCCATGTTGAAAAGCTGAGGTAAACAGAGCTAGCAGCTAAAGCTGCCATTTCAGTCCTAGTCATTTGTGGGGTCCTGCCCCACTGGGAACTTAGGTCACCTGTGAAGAGGTGGCCTGAAACCAAGGAAAGGTAAGTGCATGCTCGCCTGTTCCCCAGCCTCCCTCTTACCCGGAGACAATCAGACGCAGCATGAGTCAAGTCAAGCAAGAATTCATTTATTGTTAGGCAGTAGGCCTCTTTTATAGCAAAAACCTCAGAACCCTAGGAGGGGGTGAAGGAACTGACTAATCATTTTAAAGGTCACCATATATTCATCTTCTTATTTATGAGTTGTTTATCCACTGACATCATCTTCTGATCTTAGTATCATAAACAACTTGAGCTAACTTTCTTCTGCACTATTTGTATCTAATCTCTATACAAACATCCCAAGCTAACTTCCTCTCCACACCATCCATTGTATCTACTCTCTACAGAAACAGCTTAAGCTAACTTCCTCTGGCACCATTTGTATGTATTCTCTGTACAAATAGCTTAAGCTCTACTTGTCTAACTTCCTCTCAGCACCCTCTTTGCAAACCATGTATGCCCCACAGTCATTCTGCAGTTCAAAGCAATAGATTCACAATAAGAAGGACTCAGATGGGATAAACCCTAAACAGTTTAGAGTGTGTGTAAAACTGCATGTAGGCTTGGAAGAGAGAAGAAAATGAATACAGATAGTAATATAAAGAAATAGAAAGTTTTGAAAAATAAAGTCTTTAAAGAGAAAATAAAATTAATATGAAAAATAAGCCATGTAAAGATGGAAATCACACAGAGAGTCTGGATTATATTTTCTTTGGGACTTTTTTTTTTTTTCATAGATTTACTTTTTATTCAATGTTAATGTTACAGAGTTCTTACACTGCCGAACCATGCCTGAGAACCCAAAGAAAGAAATGGTGCAATGGACAGCCTCATTCACCCAGACAGTGTATTAAAACTTGATTCATGTGCATTTTGATAATTTCACAATCTTAAAAATTTATAACAAGACTTGGAATTTACATCTGCTGCAGGTCTTCAGTGTTCCAGTACAGTATGCCATTAAACAAACCTCTTCACATGTCTCCGTTCACTTCTCAAACCCTAACCCCAAACAGATTTGGGGGTGGGGGTGGGGTTGGGGGTGTAAAGCATACTTTAAGCGAAGTATGTGGCTCAAGGTGAGAGATTACTTGTTAAGGTTTCTGGTCCCCAAATAAGTCTTCAGTTTGACCAAGAATATCAAACTTCTAATCACCCAACGTGCTCCTGGCTAGCTCAGATCACGCCAACATTACTGCCCAGAATGGCATGCAGTCTGGTCAGGAAACACTGACCTACACCTCCTCCCGCTTCCTGCTCTGCTGCACTCATTCCTGAACTGCAAGACCTATTCTCAAGCTAGGAAGGCTTCCCTCATTATGTTTCACTCCTGTCTCAACTGCATTTGGCAAAGGGACTCATTCCAGACAAACCCAGGCACTGCCGTCATGCAGTCTCAGCTGCCAATACAGAGTATTTGTCTGAACCATTTCTAGTGACACAGAAGTAGGTAACTCCTTCCCTTTCTTTTTTCTTTTTCTTTCTTTTTTTTTTTTTTTTTTTTTTTTTTTTGTCTGTACTAGCAAAAGCTATATCCACCATGGACCGTGCTACACGTCTTAAAGGCACCACTGAGTACAGTGGCTGGAATCTGCCATGCTATATTCAAGCCAATACGCTGTGTACCCACCATACTGTAGCTCAAGTCCATATACCACAGCGTCTCTGTACCTTGGCATCTCTATATCTTGACGCACATGAGACATGAAGTAGGAAGCTGGTTTGGGCTCCATTATTATGTGTTTAGAAGCCCTTTTTAAACACTTTTAGGCCTTATGGAAATTTGTGAGCCCCACATTGGGCGACAAATGTAATCAGAATGTTTCCTGTGTCCTGCCTGGTCCACAGTTGGGACAAATCTCTCACCCACAGTTCCACAGAATTCTATAAATTAATCACACAGAGGCTTAATATTATTTATAATGACCTGGTCGTTAGCTCAGGCTTATTACTGACTATCTCTTACACTTGAATTAACCGATATTTCTTATCTAAGTGGCTTGGTACCTTTTCTCAGTTCTGCCTTGTCATCTTGCTTCTTCTGTATCTAGCTGGCAACTCTTGACTCAGCCTTCCTCTTCCCAGAATTCTCCTCATCTGCTTGCCCTGCCTATACTTCCTGTCTGGCTACTGGCTAATCAGTGTTTTATTTATCAACCAATCAGAGCAACACATATTCACAACATACAGAACGACATCCCACAGCAAGCATTGATTGGTTTAGAATTCCCAACAAAAGCAATCCACTTTCTTTATATTTTCTAGATAATTCAGATCATCAGTGCAATAGACAGAGATGAGTCCATAGAAGATCACCATTTTTACTTTAATCACTCTGTGGAAGACACAGACAACTCAAGTTTTATACTAACAGACAATCAAGGTAACTCCTCATCTATAAGTGTGTTTGGTGCAATCTAATATCTTTAATACCAGTGGATTTGGAGAACTGATTATTGTTCTTGCAATACTGAAAAATAAATAAAAAGCAATGGCCAAAATGGAAAATAACTCACAATCAATTTTGAAGGACACTGATTCTGTTATTCCTCATATTTCTTCAAACTAGAAACACATTTAAAAGTCATGAGTAGAGGGGTTGGAAATGTAATTGCTTTGCATATTAAATGTAAGTCTATGAGTTTTATTTATAGCTTTTCAAACTGAAATTTAAAACAGAAAGCTGTCCTTCATTATAAGATACTAGAAAGTCTTATAGGTTCTCAAATATTACTATGGTGGTGACATCATAGGTCTATTGCATCTTGGACTCTGTCAATTATCAATGTAAAGATGAAAATATAATAATCTATATTTAAATATAGTGAGCTTAGCTTGACTTAATGATGACTATCTGGCAACACTAATTAGGTTACATAAACATAGTGTTTAAGTCTGTTCTTTGCCTTGCAACACAAAGACTATTAACTGAATTGTAAATATTCTGAAGTTAGAATTTTTTTAAAGGCAGAATATCTGCTTCTTCTATGTAAATATTATAACTTCTAAAAATGGTTTCTTTAGCTTTTTCATTAACCTTAAAGAACTTTTTGCCATATAAATATATATATTCCTTTTCACTTAAACTTTATAAATTAGACAGTCTGGGAGTGAAATGAACATTGTTGTCTTGTGCCTCTTAATTTGATTTTTTGGATACAAATATTATTTAGGGTAGTGGGAAGATACCTTGGTTTGTTTCTGTTGCTGCAATAAAACACTGACTAAATCCAACTTGGCAAGGACAGGGTTTATTTGCTTGACAGTCCATTTTGGTGGCAGCCAGAGCAGGAGCTTGAATCAGAAAACCACAGAGGCTTACTGGCATGCTTTTTTTTCTGGCTTGCTGCACCCTCTTTCTTAGAAAGCCTAGGCTCATGTGTGTAAAGATGGCATTAGAAGCTTTGGCCCTCCTACGTCTACTTACAATCAAGAAAATGTCTCACAGACATGCTGACAAGCCAAGCAAATTATGGCATTTTTCTGATTGAGGTTCCCTTTTCTCCATTATATCAACTGGAAAACCAAGATTAGCTATCACAGAAGCCTACTCAACATTTAAACAAAACAAATAACAGACACAAAGACCTAGAAAAGAAAACATCATAATATTTTGAGAGAAGACAATTGCATTAGTGAAAATGTTATTCTAAGTATTTGGGATTTTGAGAGAATTTTTACATAAATGGAAGTACTCATTGTTCAGCTACACTGGTACTTTGAAATGTTTGTGAATTATATAACTAATTTCTGTTGTGTTGTCGTCTTGATGAATGAATTGAGATGACAAGTAATGAAGGTATGTTTGGAATTTTATATGAAATACAACTTGGTAAAGTCACAGTAAAATGAATATTCTAATAGGATTTCTCTCCAAAATTGAATTATCTCTTTTTCTAATTAGAATGTATATTATTTAAGAGCACATATTTTTGTAGTTAGGTTACTGAATATCTTATATGTATCCAGGATTTGTGAAATTAATTTGTTCTGAGGGAATGCTAGTCACAAATAATAAAAATAAAGCTGAGAGTCCCACCAGTACATGTCTAATGCTTAACAGCCCCTACCAGTACTGATGCCTGAGTAGAGAAATATTTCCTTTTCTTTGTACTATGCATCTTTGATATTCCCCAGGACCTTTTGGAACTGATTCAAATAATTCTTCTAATTATGTAACTCATTTTCAGAACATTTCAATATGATTTGGGACTGGATATTTTGAATATTTTTATTTGCCTAGTATGATTATATTGAAATGTTTTTGCCCTTAGTATTTGCATAGTACATATTTAGTTTACATTGTTCAAAAAATTGTTAACATGGACTTCTGTTTTAGATAACACAGCCACAATTCTGACAATTAGAACTGGTTTTAGCCTTAAAGAAGAGCCTGTCTTCTCCATGATCATCTTGATTGCTGATAATGGAATCCCATCTCTTACAAGCACAAACACCCTCACTATACAAGTCTGTGACTGTGGAGAAAGTAGAAGCACAGAGATTTGCACTAAGAAGGGACTTCTGTTTCTCATGGGATTCAAAACAGAAGTAATAATTGCCATCCTGGTATGCATTATGGTAATATTTGGTAAGTCAGGTTGAATGGTACAAACTTTCAATTACAAAAGGAACCCTAGGAGGTAGTTATTCTCTACATGTGTTTATTATCTCTAAACATATTCAAGTTTAAAACCAAATACAGTTGGTTTTCAATTCATTGTATTTATTGTGTGATTTGATCCTTAACCACAACTTATTAAATTGTCTGGTTTTCTCTATATTATATAAGTGAGTAAACTAAAATTCAGCACCTACCAGAATAAGGAAGAATTGAAACACAATACAAGAAATACATATTTTGTCAAGGGTTCTGTAGCAATTAAGGATTTACTGAAACTCTGTGTCTTGAAAATACCAGTAGGCACCACTTCTGCATCTGAACAGGGCACCATGAGCAGTACTTTGAAGACCGCATTTCCAAGCGTGTATTACGTTGCTATTTCTAATGGCCACACATTGTATAATCCATCACATGGGCTTATTCCTGATGCATTACAACGTTTTCCCATGTACTGCTTGTAAACAGTGAATACATTCTTTGATGTAGCCAATCACTCTCTGCCTTTTTGAGCTCTTCATCTAACTGAGGTCATCCTGTATTTGTCTTTGTGCAGCTGCATTTTGTCATTTGAAGTAATGACTTCCAGGATCTTCCATATTGCTGCAATGGCAGAATGACTTTCAAAAACTATTTCTTTTATTTTTTGAGATATTAATATAGTTATATCATTTTATGAATCTCTTTCCACTTCCCATTTACCCTTCAAGTTTAAAACCAAATACAGTTGGTTTTCAGTTCATTACATTTATTGTGTGATTTGATCCTTTAACCACAACTTATTAAATTGGATGGTTTTCTCTATATTATATAAGTGAATAAACTAAAATTCATCACCTACCAGAATAATGAAGAATTGAAACACAATACAAAAAAAACATATGTATATACATGTTCTGAAACACACAAATATAACCTTCTCAATCTGTATAATTTTGCTTTTATGTGTGTTTTGATGGATGACTGTTTGGTATTTGACAACCAAGTGGTATGGGTCTTTAGTTTTAAAGTGATTAAATATTCCTATTTAAGTTAAAATTAATTGAGATCATCTCTCTCTCTCTCTCTCTCTCTCACTATATATATATATTAATTTATTTGATTAAATACACAATGATTATATGTATATCAAAATTTCAATTTAATGACTGCCTTTTATTTTATTTTGTTTTGTTCATATTTTCAGGTATACCTGTTTTTTTAGAGAGCATTTTTCCTGTGCTTAAGCCTCTGTCCTTTAAAGAAAACCCCAATTCTGCTCCACTAAAAAGAGACATGCTCTAGACAATAAATTAAAAAAAACACTTTTATTTTTCTCTTTAAAACTTAGAGAATACTTTTTGCAATAATAAAAAAATGATGGCGTGGAATGTAAAAGACGGAGTATCTAAAGCACTGAACAGAAAGAAATCTCAGTAAAATCACTCTAATTTTAAGTGTTGACTTATTATTGTTCCTTTTGTCAGCATGCAATTTGTACTCATTTTAAAGATGACAACAGTGAATTGTAAAATGTCTTAAGTGGAATTTAAATCTGCATATTATTCATTGATTGTGCCTATATTCCTTCACTTTTCTGACTTCTATACCCTGATCTTTCTTCACAAGTAACTTTACCCAAGATGATACAACTTAAATGAATGTAGAGGGCAGTCATTTTTGATGAAATATTGGATACCAACCACACTGCTCACTCAGGCTGAAACACTACAGGGGTAGCTGTAATTTGTTCAATGTGTCTTTTCCAGACATTCAACATCTCTTGTTTCTATGTCACAGCCTAACAACATAACTTTACAAAACACTGTAAAAATATAATCTTTTGGATCCAGCTTTAACTTTGCATATTATTTTCAGAGACTTTTAGAAAAACAGAAGAATCCTAAGATGTTCAATGTATTCAGATATAATTCAGCAATAGCACTAACCTAAGCCTGGACTCCACAAACAACAACTCACAATTTCAAGTCAAAAGACATATGACATATTTTGTTGATGGGAGATGTGGGTCAACAAAAATTTTTGGCAGATTTTCATAAATGTTTCAATTAACATTAGAAAGTCATGTATTGGAGGCATTTTTAATCTACTGTTTTTAGTATAGGAACTGAAATTATATGATGGCAATTTATGTAGAAATTTCAATTCTAAAATAATACATATATTCTTTTTACTTTTAATTTACTTCATTTGAAAGCATAATTATGACCAATACTTATAATTTCATATAATAGCATATGATTATTTTAATAATTTAAAATTTCTAATACTTCTAAGGATATCTTCTTATGCAATAAGGGTCCAGAATTTACTCTTCTTAACTCACCATTTACATAATATAATACCTTCTAGGATCATTCATGTTGTAGAGGTATTTCCTTAATTTTTAAAGGGCAGTAATTGAGGTGATCTCTGCAGGTGTTAGTCAGCAAAATGAAATGCAAATAGATGAGACTGAAAACTCAGATTGGATTGTCTTTGTCAACCTGTATCAAAACTTCTGGGGAGTCTGATACCAGGTTCTTTATTGTCAGCAAATTTAAGCACAGTATAATTTGGAATAAAAGTTTCATGGTATAATTCAGTCATTGGTGCTCAAGGAAGCCTGATTACATTGAAACTTAAATCATGATACATGTCATTTCTTTCTAGAAGAAAGGTTCTACAAATAGGCTACCTATAGTAGCTTAAAGTCTGGGGAAGGATCTGATCTGATATCAGTCATACAGATAGCAAAGAAATCATTTAGGCTTTTAGCCACCTCTGGTCCTGGTTGTGGAAGTTTGGGGAAGGCTACAGGATTTTTAAGAGACATTTAGATTACTAACCACCTCTGGTCTTGTTTTGGTTATTGGAGGTTGATATTGGCTGGATCAACAGATAACATCGATCACCAGGCTGCTAATCATCTCCAATTCCTAGCTTTCTGGATATAAGAACAAGTTTTACATCCAGTCCTCATATGCTTAACATTCTCAGTTTTTCTGGATATGTGGGCCCAAGTACCTTTGTGCTACACTCCCAACAATTAATATTCCACTCTCTGTACAAACACACACACACACACACACACACACACACACACACACACACACACTAATACAACATAGTAATTGGACTCCAGAGTCTTCTTTATCTATGGTGACAATTGTTAGAGGGCACATAAAAGCTTAGCTTTCTTCAGCTCTGTTGATGTTTCAACATTCAAGAGCAATTGTTGCTCTTACAGAGATCCAGTTTCTAGTATACCCTGTACCCCCATGGTTTACAGCTACCTGTAATCCTGTCTCCATAGAGATCTGATTCACTATTCTGGCCTTCTCAGGTACCTGTACATAGACTTACAAAAATGTAAGCATAATATTTATACACATAAATATAAATAAATCTTTATAAAAACTTTCAGTTATCAGTTGACATAGCTACCATATGTATAAATAATCAAATTAGTGTTTCATTTTGAATTTTTATAAGATTCTGAAAGTCTTTATCTTATAGCTTTTTAAACCTTTTGGTAAAAGTCAGCTGCAAAAATATGATGTCCTTGACTTTTCTTCTTTTTCACGGTAGACTTATTGATCCAATCTCTTTTCTTTTGAATTTGCCTGAATATTTCTCATTTCTCCTCAGTATGGTCTCGGTAGGTTATATGTTATAGGAATTCATTTTTCCCACATTGTCCAACTCATCAATATGTAATTGTTCACAGTGATCTTTCACAATTCCATGTTTTCTGTTATATCAGCTACAATGTCTCATTTTTCTAATTTATTTGGGTACTGTCTCCATTTTCTACAAGAAATATTACCCAGCATTTATCTCTTGGTTATAATTTTAATAAGTTCACCTCATATTTATTTCAAAGACTGACTGCAATAGAAAACACTGAGGAGGTACATGAGATCCAAAGCCAATGAAGGATTGATTATGGTTGAAACACAAACACAACCCCCCAAAATATGTGTTATATTTAGTTATTCTGTTTTTAAATTAAAAACATATTCTGAAATTGTTCAATTTCTGCATGTTTTAAAAATTATCTCCAATATAGCTGCTAATCAGTAGTATGGTTCATATACCTGTTAATTTAGATTTTCTGAAACTACTTTTATATCACAAAATCCAAATGAGAATGCTGTTTGAATTATTTTTGTATATAGGTGTCTTCTCTCTTCCTGGAGATATGATGTGATGACCTTATACTTTCTGTTTCTCACTTGTAATATATCATTAATGATAATATATGATTTTCATAAGAATGAAGTCTACCAGTAAATATTAAGCTTTTATAACAAGGTCTGGTATGTAATAAAATTGTATAAATATGTGCATATATATGTACAGTTTGTAGTCTGTTCATACTATAAATATATAGTAAAAATGTATAGTAGTCAATAAGTATATATATGTAATATATAGTAGTCTACATAAGATATATATAGTAGTCTATAAATACTAACTTCAAAAATAATTGTGCCATGAGTTTGCCTCAAAGAATATCAAGTGGTTCCTTTTCAGAAATTCTATTATCATGGATCATTAGACACTACATACATTCAGTCTGGAAAAGATTCTACTATTTTACTTTGTTCTTTTAAGTACTGGAATAAGAATTAACTTACATTTTGAGTTTAAAATTGAGTAAGAGACAAAACAGTTCCCACTTTTTTCTTTGCACGTTCCTCTAAACCATCAGCCAGAATCATGGCTGTGCTTCAAATATCATTTTTCTTTATCTTACTCATTTCCTTAGAGTCATCGAGTTTAGGGTGATTTCTTGAATTTGTGTCAAAGGCAAAGACTGCAAAATTGACACCATGCTCCATTAGTTAATTTATATTCATCTGTCCTTTTTTCACCAGGGTTTATCATTTTGATGCTGGCTATGAAGCAGCGAAGAAAGCAAACGCTTATTCCAGAGAAAAGTGAAGAATTTGGAGAGAATATATTTTGCTTTGATGATGAAGGCGGTGGAGAAGAAGATTCAGATGCCTTTGATGTTGTCGAGTTGAGAAGCAGCATGGTCATGAGGGAAAGAAAGCCTCGCAAAAGCAAGAGCATGGAGATAAGGAGCCTGTACAGGCAGTCCCTGCAGGTCGGGCCAGACAGTGCCGTATTCCGACAATTCATCTTAGAGAAGCTAGAAGAAGCAAACACAGATCCATGTGCTCCACCCTTTGACTCACTGCAGACCTTTGCTTTTGAAGGCACAGGGTCATCAAGTGGCTCTCTGAGCTCCATAGGATCCAGAGACACTGATCAGGAAGACAATTTTGATTATCTTAACGACTTGGGACCTCGTTTTAAAAGATTAGCATGTATGTTTGGTTCTGCAATGCAACCAAACAATTAAGGCTTCCCTATATCAACATGCAAGAAGTATTAAGGTGTATATACATGAAATGGTAGGCTTCTGGTAAAATTGCAATCTCTGGCTTTCTGTCTAGTAGGAGCTCTTTATGTAGAATTATGATCTTTTAAAATACACACTTGTGGATATTTCCAGTTCAACACAGAGGTTGGGAGGGATAAAACTAATCATATTTTAGATAACGCTGCAAGCCACCCTAGTGTATCCCTGAGATGGTTCTCTAGAATTTTTTCATGTAATCCAATGCAAATTCTCAACAATTCAGAAGGGGAAAATAAGAAATGCACCAAATAAAGCCATCTGCTCAGTTTTTTATCTGTCCATTCTTTTACAAAGTAAGAATGAAGCCTCTATGTGTATTAAATTCCTGGAACCTTGCAAAGATCAATTCTAAGACCTGGGAGAAATGTGAGTGGTTTCATAAAGAGTTAAAAATATTGCCTTATATGTTAGCAGTTTTCTGATTGAGATTCTATGAATCATTTTATTTTGCAACTTTTAAATTTTTGCCAAGATTACACTTTACTACTCTGAATTTGGCTATCTATGCAATACATGAATTAATCACAGTTACCTAGTAACTCACATTATTTCACGTCTTCTGAGTTTGTATAACAAAGGGAATCAGAAGGTATTCTTAGAGACTTCTCAGAGTTTAATTTCCTAGCAACTCCAAATGCCAATTCTTTTCATGAAAAAATACAATAACCAAATTCAGGTCAACATTCACTTGTGATTAAATTAATGCTTTTGTAACTCATGGGAAGTTCAGAAATTCTTAAGTATGTTCTGCTTTCTACTAAAATTGTAATAGCCAAATGACAGCAGTATTGTATTCAAATTTGAATTACTATTTACTACAAATGTTACAATCATCTGCTCTGTGTTTCACTATTGGTATAAATAAAACATGATGTCACTCTCTGCATTTCTTTTACTGTTAGGAGCTTATCATGTGACAGGTCACTCAGTGCCATTAGCTCTTATTGTATTTGAAATCAGATGCAATGGAAACTCCTCATCATAGCATTATGGAGGAGTAAATGCTAAGGTGTCAGACATACAACTTTAACATAAATTAGATTATAAGGTAATAAAACATGGTATTTTTAATTGACTTTTCAATAATGTTTCTTATATCAAAATTATGGAGTCAAAATTGATATTTAATATAAAATAATGCAGTGAGTACAATGTTCTTCACATTGTTTTGAAAGACTATTTTTATTTAATAGTGTAAACCTTGAACTGAAGTATGTATATTTATATGAAATATTTTAAGTGATTTTGTATGGATTAGGGCAGATGAATAGTATTTTTCTTTGTATTCTGAGACTGAAATATCTATATCAAATAATAAAAAAATATAGATTTGAAACTGGAATCATTTTGTTTGTGCCACAGATATCATTACCTTGTAAGAACATGAAACAGTCATATTTGAAATACAACAGTTAAGACAGTAAAAGTAGATGAGACATTGCAAGCTACACTAGATCATTATACATTAATATAATATTGTTTTGCTCTTGGGAAAAATACAGAATAGCTAGGAGGTGTTAGCATGCACCTTTAATCCCAGCACTCAGATCTCTGTGAGTTCAAGGCCAAAATGTTCTAGAGTGAGTTCCAGGACAGCCAGATCTACACAGAGAAACTCTGTCTCAAACATAAGAAAAAAAGTACAAAACAAAAATATTATCAAAAAAACCAAAACATATAATTCATATGGAGATGTATGCATTGGAAATTTATTATTCTTATCACATTGGCCTATTCCTCAATCATATATTGTACAAATTGTAAAGAATAAAATCAATCCTTTAATGGCTATTTCATAAATTTTAAAATGAGTATAATGGAATCCTTGCTGAGGAACTGAAAAGTATGTAAAAAAAGATAATTAAATACAAAGATAATAGAGTCAAGAAAAGAAATTAAACATGATAATCACAGCAGAGATTTTATGTATTAATCCCCTGGTCATCTGTATGAACAACTTATATACATGATATAAATTATATAACAATGTGTTTATAATAGTTCATGACTAGTTACTCTGTGGAGATTTGTTAAAAACACACTGTGCTTTATATAATTATAGGATTGTCAAATGCAGGATACACTGGGAAATTTTCTCATTATATTCATAATTGTTAGTTAAAACACATACCACTTTTAGCCATCTCAGGGAATTTTATCTAGGACTAGGGAATTTATAAACTGCTAGAACAATAATGGGCAATATTGTAATTGTTTATCTTCTGCTTAAACATAAGTGCTGCAAAAGTTCAGCTATCTGCCATGTTGAACACATATTACATGATTTGGAATATTTTAATAAAATCTAAATTAACATATATAGTTATGCATATATTTTCTCTTTATATTAACAATCTTTTTACTCATCTCACAATCTTACACATAAGCTTCAAATTTCCATTGTTTAAAATAAACAATATTTAAAGTTACTTAAAAAGAATATAAGCAGTACTACATTTCTCAGAACATATTTTGTGCCTCTTGATATGAGTATGAATAACTTTATTTTAATTTAGCTAATTGTGTGAACATTGTCTGATTTTTGTGAAGCTTTCTTTATAATCTAAAGCACAGTAACTTGTTTGTAGCTCCAAGTCAAGCAAAGTTATGAGTTTTCAATAAACAGGGGCTTTTGAAATTCCAGCTTTAGAAATACTGCAAAGACAGTAGAATCTAAGAAGAAGCTTAAAGTCATTCAATCAGAGAATGTTTCACATGGGTAAATAATAGCCATAAAGTCCTTGAGATGGGACTCTGGAAATATGATGCACTCTCGGAGAGACCAATCATAGGCTCAGTATCTTCCTAGTACACAAAGGCAGTAGGATTAAAAAAGCTCCAGCATATTTATAGTGATCTTAACTCTCCTCTTCCCACCTCACTCTGTGCTTCAGAGGACCATGAGCAGTGGCTACATAGTACAGGACACACATTTTACTAACCTTGAAGAACTGATGAGGTCTTCTACAATATAGTAAATGAATTCCTGTGAATGTTTGAAAATAACCAAGAGCTGCGGTGCATTCTAAGTAATATTTGGCCCCTTTGGGTATCACAGCAATCAATGAAAAGATATCTACACCTGAATAAAGAAAAACATTGTATTGATGATTCACTTCTAGTTAAAAATTAATAAGAAGACTTTATATATTATATCATTCAAATTCTATAAAATAGAATTCCAATAACAATTCAAAATTCCATTTGCTATTTAAAACCTAAGCAAGAATTCAAATAAAATATAATTAAATTAGTCATAGAATAGGTCAGATCATAGTAAAATAGTTTACTCAATTTTATTCCATGCACTTCTTCTATTCATATTGATATTTAAAATATGACCTATATTAGTAACTTTTACAGTATAAAATTATATAGTTATGGTATGCATAAAGCTTGAAATGGTAATTCAAATAGTTCATGAGTAAAGAAGTAAGAAAATCAAAAGAAGTTTAATACCATGAAGAAAGTGGAGTACCTCTCTGTATTAATTTTAAGCATTTCCATAATTTGCCTTATTTGTATGCTAGATAAATGGTCTGTAAAGTTTACTTTTAATTATTTTCTAGCTCCTAACATTTTTGCTGTCTAACCTTGGGCAAATTATTTAAAACATTTTCCCTTGACACCTAGATCTATGCAATGGGAATATTAAGAATGCATGAAACTTTCGTAAAATCCAGCTGAATTTCTAATATACAAGGAATGCATGTATTATATTATACTATACCCAAAATATGTATACATGATACACATAATGCACAGCAGATATTGCACATATTTACCTGCTGTTATTACTGAAATAATGACAATTATTAATTATTAATGTTAGCTTCAGGAAGACCTAGATATACCTCTTTATGTAGCTACTAGAATTAAAATGGATTAGAAAAAAATAAGAAAATGAGTTAATTTGGGACAATAATTTGCTTGCTTTTCTTTTCTGCTCCCTCCCATTGTTCCCCCAGGGTATTATTTCATTATTACCAAAGGAAGAAATTAATTGCTTTTATTATACATTATGCATGGAATTTTCTGTTGGAAAATAATTTCTCTATGGCACTTATCTGGGAGAGAATATAGAAAGTTATGCACCAACCAACCTTTTATACAACTTATTCTGATATACATATTTTATAAACAAATCTCTTAAAGTAGAGCTGGTATTGTTCACTTTGCAAGTGATGGAAGAACTGACTTATGTAGGAATTGTATTAGAACTACATGAAAGAAAGGAACAGAAATTTGCTAATTCATCTAATAGTGTTTCTGGCAAATGTGTTGCCCATGTCTGACATTTGTTATTCATAGTTCTCCATTTATGATTTTTGAAAAAATTGTTAAATTGGAAGTCAATTGTTTTCACCTGTGACATGACAAAAAGAAACTTTCATCCCTAAATTAAGTTTATCCTTCCTGTTCTCTTTGAAATACATTAGATTACACATTGCCATATGTTCTGAAATTTGGAAATTTCCACCATCTTTCTCATGTCTGAGCCAGTGCTGCAACTTTTAGGTAGTAGTTTAGAATGTAAAACACCTCAAAATTCAGAAAATTTCTTATTATCACAAATGACATCTATGCTATTCAGGAAGACTACTCGGTAAAGTCAATTATCTATGCTATCTCTATTTAAAACTAGCACATTTTTAATAATATCAAATTGGCATGCAGAGTAATGCATCCAAATATTTGAAAATATTTTGAACTGTAATAATTATATAATAGATGTATATTGACTATTATATATTTATTAATAATATTCTATAACTATTGCATATCATAAAAATCTTTCCAATACTATAATTTACATGAGCAAAAAGGTCTTTTCTTTATAACATATCAGGTATTTCCATATTATTTTATATTTGTATTATTGGTAAATAGGCACTATTCTCTTAAATACAATGATATTGGTAGATCTGTGAAAATTCAAGCTTGTTTTCACTTATTCTAAATAAAATGATAAACAAGAAAACACCATTTTGTTAATAAAGTATCAAATATCAAGTATATTATACTTCTAGTATCTATTTTACATGTAGATTTACTGAGCATCTTCATGTAAATAGGTAGATATTCATATGTATGAGGTATTTTTGTTTTTGAGACAAAGACTCCTCTAACTAACACTGGCCATAAATTTGTTGTGTAGCCAGAAATGATCTTGCACCTCTGATCTACCTACCATCACCTACTATTTGCTGAGAATATAGCAACATACCACACTGCCTAATTTGGGAAGTGCAGGAGATCTAATCCATATCTAATCTCTCTCTATGTGTGTAGGCCAGAGCATGTTTAGACCAATAGCACAAGTCCATGTAAACTAAAGAGAAACAGATGCTCCTCTGTAAAGTAGAGAGTAAGCTGTGTCATGTTCAAATTCAGTATCACTCTGGCACTCACATCTGAAGCCCACAGGTTTCCTTCAGTTCAGTTCCAGGGATGCCTAATTATAAGTAAATATATAATTATAATACATAATTATACATACTTTCCAAATAATTGAGAAAGTGCCTGTGTTTGAAATATATTTCAAAATTTCATAATCCTATAAATGTGTCCATTAGCTTATTTGATTAGAGAAAATAAACGTAGTTGATTAGAGAATGTAAATTTACAAGAAAAGCTGAAGGGAATTTGGTATTTGGTTCTGTGAATGATACGATGCTAGTCTTGCAGCTAGGTAAGTGTTTTTATCAAATTAACTACATCCCCATCTCCTGAAGAGAATTTTTACTAAATAAATATTGCTGTGTCTTGTGTGAGAAAATATTTGTCACAGAAAACCCCCCTAACATAACTGAAGACTCAAGGGAACTTTGTCCTTGGATCTTTGTGCAAAACGTGAAGGCAGTTCAGAATGGCTGAGGGTCTCCTTCCCAGCACTTGAAACTGTCAATACAACATTGATGAGGCTTTCTGAGTCTTGGTATTTCGGCTTTTTCTTAGCCTGTAAGTTACATTAGCCTTTCTCCAACAGGGAGTACATCAGCTCAGGGCATTGGCTACCCTTGTGCCAATGTCAACATTACCTGCTGCCTGCCTCAGAAGAGGAGAAAGTAAGAGAATGTCAACAGGAAACAGCACCAGCATACACAGACTTTTATATTATGTTAGAATCCTAAGTTTTGACAATTTCCACATTTTTGTTTTTATTTTATTTTGGTTTGTTTTTTGCTTTTGTTTATAATAGTAATAAATGTCAATTAACAAATTCATTAAATATGTAGACATTGTACACGCCTTTAATCCCAGCACTCGGGAGGCAGAGGCAGGCGGATCTCTGTGAGTTCGAGGCCAGCCTGGGCTACCAAGTGAGTTCCAGGA